ATAATGATAGACATTGGATTTACATTTTTGGAGATCAAAGTTGACTGGGAAGCAAAAAAAATGTTCCACAATTGAGAAGTGCAAGAGAAGAAACTGTTAGCATAGAACTTATGGCTCAATTTCAACCGTAAAATGATGAGATCTTACCACCAATCTTGTAGTATGCTTAAATTCATGAAGTCTAGGTACCAAAGAAGAAAGTAATATTTATTTTGAATAATACAAAAATGAGGCACAAGGCCAAAAGTGGGGGATAAGGGAACGCTTGTCTTCAATCTATTGCCCCAAAGAGAACAATTACAATGAAAATAGTTATAGAAAGGCATGGGAAAAAGCTACATTATGATAGTGAGAAAGTAACTGAAGCCAAGATACCAGGTCAGGACGAATAAATGTTATTGTCAAATTAATTATTTTCTTATATATTTGTGCCTGTATTCAAAATACATCATCTCTTTAAATGTCTTCTGGCATTCATAGAAAAATACTCTTTATGAAAATATATCTGAAAATATGTTTTTTTTTTTTTTCATTTCACCCCAAGCAAGACAATAAAGCCACTAAGACACAAGAGGTTACTGAGTGTGAAAGAATATAAGGAAAAGAAAAATACTATTAAGGAACAAAAACAATAAAAGAAGAGCAATCAAGAAGACAGTAAATAATGGTTGACATTGCATTTAAATTTTTGAAGATCAAACTTGACTGAAAAGCAAGAAGTGAGAAGTACAAGAGAAGAAACTCTTAATATCTGTCTATATCTCTGAGATGAGGTATTATGATTACTTGCATTATTTACATTATTCGGACTGTTATCCTCATCTTCATTACCATATTCACAACGTTTTGGCCATTGTTTGCTCCAGCATTCTTCAGGTGATTGGAATTTCAAACCAAACCCTTTATTTCATCCACCGAGGTAGATTGTTCTAGTTCCATATGTCATGCCTCTTCTGGATGTCAGTTTTATTTCCCCTTTAACTCAACTCACCAAGTTTTAGTTCACCACTGCTGTGGCTTGGTATTGAACTCACAACTCTTTAGGATCTAACCAACATCTTTATGCATTGGGCTATGTGTCCTTGAGTTAAAGGGAAATAGCCGAAGCATCTAGAAGAGGCATGGCACGTGGAACTAGAACAATCTACTCTGGTGGATGAAATGAGGGGTTCAGTTCAAAATTTCAATCACCTGAACAATGCCAGAGTGTATAACGGCCGAAACGCTGTGAATATGGCAATGAAGATGAGGGTAACAGTCCAAATAATGTAAATAATGCAAGTAAAGAAACTGTTAGCATAGAACTTACAGTTACATTATCTAATAATTTTTATCATACTCATTCTTTAAGAAAATGAACAGGTTATGCTTCAGTTCTGCCCCTGCTATAACCTTCTTTCACCTTCCATATGCCTCACCATTTTTAGCCCAATATTTCTGTTGGTATAAAACATGAGAACCATACATGTGGTTATTACTTACCACTGATTTTCAGTTAATTGACCATCAACAATTTACAGTAAAAATATATTATATAATCTAACAGAAAACACATTGCAACAAATTCTATACTTATTTATGACACATGATAATTATTTTCTGACAATACGAGTTTATTTTAACAACATATAATCATGGCTCAACATGATTTTACATATATTAATGTAATTTACATGTGGAAAAGAAAATAGTTTCCAATGCCCAGAAAATTATTGGCATTAAAAACCATGAACCAATTTTGATTTCATAGATGATTCTGAAGTTTTGTAGATCAGAGATAAAGGATGTGAAATAATTACAGATTGTTCTAGAAATCAGCTGTCGCCATATTTTCTAGAACTTATTTTGCCATTGGTTAGAAATTTCAAGAATCTTTTCTATATAAGAAAACAACTCAGCAGATGAATCAGACAAGTTTCTTTTCAAATTCCTTCCACTGAAATTCAGATGTAATTAAAAACAAACTCTACTAAAAAAATGCTTTTACTGAAATAATACAAATTCTTTCCTATTGTAAACGTAGATATTTAAAATAGTACATATGGTTGCACTTTTTTCACTTTTGCCTATTATTTGAGAAAAATAAATAAATCAAACTACATATTGCAAGAAAGTAAATTTTCTGCTAAAACTGCATCATCTCTTAAAGAAAAAAAAATCTGTATATGTGTGGATTTGTCCAGACTTGAAAAACAACAAAAATTACCAGATGGATTGAACAGAAATTAGGCACACATAAGTTTTTCACACCAACATATATGGTAAACATATTGGCATCATTTTCTTACAGTGGAGAAAATAAAATAAAATTTTAATGTGTCTCTGACAAAATATTATCACCAATGTCACACTTAAGCGTTCAGGCCAGGATCAATACATAGTATCTTTTCTCTTCATTTTACAATGGAGAAGGCACTTGGTCCCAGAGATTCTATCCCTGTGAGGGCACACCTTCCTCATTGCACTAGGCTTACAGCCATATCACTTTGAAACACTGGTTCTCATTTGATCACCAAAGTTAAGCAATGGCGAGTCTGGTCAGTGTGGTAAACTTTGATGTGCAGATGGTGTAATGGATAATGGCTCAGAATTGGAAATCAGAGAGACAAGTTCCAGTTCCAGTCAGGTTCGTTATATTCATTTAAGTGCAAATAACTTTGGGAATAGTGTGAATCCATCACTACCCCACTCCTACTAAAGGTTTATTAGTAGGACTTGTATCAATCTAAAAATATTTTTGGCCTTAAATAACCTGCAAAGATTGAAAAGTCATAAAACAACCCCAATCAAATCAATCCTCCTAACACTAAGAGAGGTAGTGCAATGTAATTTCAAAATCAGCGTGACAATGGTCATGGGAGACTGGGCAATTTTTATCTTTGGCCCACATGTGCACAATTAGGCACTCCACATTAAATCTTATGTCACATTCTACCTTGATGGGGAGGTCAGGTAAATAAAATAAAAATCACAGTCAGAGTTATTTGCCCTTCTTTTTGACTTATGATAGCAATATATGCCATGATTGTCATAAAAAGATAAGATGACTTTTTTATTTCTTTTTAAAATAGTTTGTTTTGAAATATTTTTAAAATGCTTTCTAAACTTACACACATCTTGTCTCTGGTTAAATATTTAAGTGGAAATCAAAAATAAAAAAGAAAACAAATTTATAAATAGATGAAAAAGATATGTGTAAAATACATGATAAATTTTTAAAAAAATAATTTAAATATTTTGAATTTTATAAGTTTTCAATCTAATGATCTTAAAGTTGTAGAAATAAGAAATTTTATCAGATTAAAAAAATACATTAATTGCTTATATATATAGAAGGAGAGAGAGAGGGAGTACAGACTTAGGAATTAGCATGGAAACTGACAGTCACCATGCAGTGTTGATTCCTATATCTACACTGTCTATATTTATAAATACTCTATCTTTTATATTGACTATTCTCCCTTTGTAGATATGATAAATTTTAAACTTATTAAAACCCAAATCACACTGGATAGTTTTACTTAGCTTATGTGTTTCATCATCTGACGAACTCTATCAAGGCAAATGTAATGATTTACCTTAATAAAGTCCATCACATAATGAAATGCATTGGCTAAGTATAGTTTTTCCTCACCTTTTTCATTCATTTTTTTTGTCTTCTACAAATAAAACTCCACCTGAGAATATTTATACACACACACACACACGAAGAAATATAGTTTTATGGTATGCTACATTTATTGGATAAAGTGCTCAATATCGTATATAAATATAAAAGTGAATATTGATGTCAACACTCAGAAGTGACAATGTTTCATGCTATACACAATCATCAGGCCACACACACACCATATATATATATATATATATATATATATAATTATTTATTTTACATCCTCACAAATCAATAATCATCTGACCTTAAACTGCAACACATATATAAAGAGGATAAAGAAAAATATTCAATCGGATTAATACACACTTGATTACAACAAATATATAATTAATACTGTTTTTTTTTTGGTTTTTTACTTAATGGTGTTTTCTACTGTTTTTCTCCTTTTTTTGTTATTTATTTATCATTGATAGACAAATAAATAAAATTACTTGTAGATTTTTTTCTTTTTAAACAAACTTCTATTTCATATAATTGTTCATAATTGTTATTTCAATTATCAGCTATGTTACATCGAACTGAGTTGTAACCTGTCTGGTTCTATTTGAAATAGTTAATGAAAAATTATGCTTAATCTGCAAAAAATCAATCATTAACAGATCTATGAATAGGGAGTTGACATCTAACAATGGAAGTGCTATGTTTTGGAAGAGTGTAGATATACTGAAACATTGCATACCCACACACACAGAAACACACATATAAATAAGAAAAGAGAGAAGGGGAGATGGTGGCAGAAAGACAGGTAAGTATGAAAAAAACTATTTAACCCATTAACTACAATTCCAGGAGTTTCTATCGTTGCAGTTTTAATATTTAAGTTTATTAAAACTATATTTTGTACTTATTTACTCCTTGTTATTATAGGGGAACATTAGCCATTAAATTTATATTCCAAAGAGAGATTCTTTACTAAGAACCAAATTTTTTCTTTTTTTCAAAGATATTTTTTTTCTTTCGAATTATAAATTTAATCAAAGATTTGAGGTTGTTTTTTTGTTTTTTTTTCATTTAGTAGATTTGAACATTTTATTTGAGAAAAGAATGTTTTATTAAATTTCTTAACTTTTGTTTGTAATTTTCATTTCCAGAGTTGTTTCTTGGTGAAGATTATATTTATAGATGTAAGCGATTTTCTTTTTGTAAGGTGAAGGTGATTGTCAGGAAGTGGGAGGTTCATTTTAGGGCAGATTGACTTTGCAGTTATTACAGTTTTGCACAGGTACTTCACAAAAGTAATTTACACTTAACAAAAAAAAAACAAAAAAAAAACAAAAAAAAAAACAGAAAATAATACACAATCACAATCTTACTTTTATATGCTTATGGCCATATCACATTGAAACACTGGTTCTTGTATGATCACCAAAGTTAAGCAATGTTGAGTCTGGTCAGTAGTTGGTATGGGTGACCAATTTGGAATGCCACGTGCTGTAAGCTTGGATGTGCGGGTGGAACAGGAATTAGAAATAAGAACACCAAGTTCCAATTGCAATTGGATTCGTTATATTCACTCATACGCAAATACCCTTGAGAAAGGTATGAATCCACCTCTTCTCCCCCAGCTATAGGTTAATTAGTAGGACTTGTATCAGTAAATCCTTATTATCTCCAACAAATTCTTAGAATCTAAAAATATTTTCTGGCATTCAATAACCTGCAAAGGGTTGATAAGCTGTAAAAAACAAATCAATCCCTCAATTGATCTTATATATAAGACACGAAATTCAGTTTTACATATAAGAAAAGATATCAGAAAAAGATAACTCTGGTGAGAGATTATGGCTGGCAGAACAGGTACTGAGAAGGAAATTAAGAGGACAAACATTGTTTAGAACTACAAAGGATAGGAAATTGTAGAGAGCCATGATTGACCATGTCTTAGGCTTGTAGCATATAAAGCTGAGTAAATATTCATATAGCAAATGAGTAACAGATAATAACATTGAAAATAAAATTTAGAAGAAAAAGATCTGTTGCAAAGCCAACAGCTGTCAAAATAGATAGAAACTTATTGCATTTGTACAAATGGAAAAGAATATATATATACAAAAGATTTTCATGAATTTTGTCAGTTGAGAATGGATTTTGAAGCTACAATAATACAATCCCCCCATTTCAAAAAGTAACTTAATTTGGGATAATTCAGAGGAAATCAAATGGAATTAACATCCAGTTTTGTGTTTGAAATAAAGCCAATACTAAAGGAAAAACTTGATATATCTGCAGCCATTTTAACTTTACATATACATAATTTCATTTTGTTTGTGTTAACCCAATATAAATGTGCATATGTCTAGAACTTCAATTTTACAGTTAAAAATGAAAGCAATATCTGTAATTTGATTAACAAACAAAAAATGTATTTAATTCTGTTTATATTTTCATGCTAACTCAACTTATTCTCAGCCAGAAATAATATGATTGTATATTATAATTAGCCAATTTATCTATGGCTGTTTGTGTATTTCTGTAAAGCAGCAAGAACAACACATTGTAACAATTTTTGTTAGAGTGTTTTAGCAGTGTTACACTAACTTGCAGAATAAAGAAACTTTCAATCCAATCAGTTTCTGAGCAATTTTTAATCAAGTAAAAATCAAATGGAAAAAAATAGTTGTCCAAGGGATATAACTCCAGGTTTATTAATTGCTAATCACAAAATCATTTCATTGAATTTTCTTCCTAATAAAATAAGAGGATATATATATATATATATATAATTGTAATTATAAATTCTATAAATAGAAAATGACATGACAATGAATAGTGGTAGTAATTAATGGAGTGAAGATAGAAATAATCATAAATCAGACTTATTTATTTCATTTTGTTTGTTTACCAAATATGGGTATTAACAGGTAACTTTTTTTTCCAGAAATACTTTAATGTCTTTATAAAAATACACACCTGTGCTGGTATCTCAGATTCAGTCATATTCCTACAGCTGCAACATAGCTTGTGCCTTTTCTATCAATATTTTCATGGTAATCATTCAGATAATCTTTTTCCTTTAGTTCCTTGACTTTAGGAATTTAAGCATAGTACTAAATTGGAAGTTTGGTCATATCATTTTATTGTTGAAAATGCTAGATGTTGCTGTAAGTTCTTTTCTAATAGTTTTTTCTCCCATACTGTGGAAATCTCTTCCAGCTTCTTGCTTACCTGTCAATTACGATCTTCAAAAATTTAAATGTAATATTATTCTCTTCTGTCTTCTTGAATCCTGGTCTTTTATTGGCCAATCTCACCTCAAAAACATTTTCTCAGTTTCTTTCACTTTAAGTAATCTCTTGCATCTTAGTGACTTTATCACCTTGCTTAGAGTGAAATGATTAAAAAAATAAAAAGGAAAAATATAAACACAGAATATGATTATATATATATATATATATATATGAGAGCAAGAGAGAGATAGTTTAAGCAAATGTTTAAATAGCTGTTTAAATTAATGCTTACAGACAGATCAATATACAAATATATTCCATACATTTTCTCAGTTTCTTTTACTTTAAGTAACCCCTTGCATCTTAGTAACTTTATCACCTTGATTGGGGTGAAATTATTAAAAAAATAAAAAGGAAAAACACAGAATACAATTATATATATATATATATATATATATATATATATATATATATATATATAGAAAGAGAGAGAGAGTTTAAGCAAATGTTTAAATAGCTGTTTAAATTAATGCTTACGGACACATCAATATACAAATATATTCCCTGGGATCTACTCATATTTAATATTATCAAATGTTGAAACAGGTCAGCACAGATGGGAATTATCCTTTAAGGGTTCCTATAATTCTTAAGATTAAAACTACTCAACACCAGTGGATAAGATAAAACTTGTATTTTTTTTTCTTTCCAATCTGTTTTGTAATTCATACTTTTCAGTCAATATATGCCACAAGATTTTAAACTGAGACTCACATTTCTCTGAATATTTTTAAGACTACAATCAGGATATGCATGATAAAAATATTTCTTCATTCATACATCAGGTTATTTTCAAATGTCTAATTAGTGAAATAATTAATTCAAAATGATACTGCTCTCATTTAATCATCTGAGAGAACCTTTTCATCATCATGACTGATGCTAATCTCCATTAGAGTGACTTGTTGCACATTCTCGAGCTAACATTTTCTGCTGACATGAAGTGGAAAGATTATATGGAATCAGTTACTAGGTCTGCTGCTAGGAAAGTTAGTTCACTGTTTTGTATTAGACAATTTTTATCTCCAGAATCTATCTTACATATTTATAAGTCTACCATTTGTCCATGCTTTGAATATTGCTGCCACAAATGGTTTGATGCTCCTGCTATATATTTAGAAATTCTTGATAAAATCTAAAGAAGAATTCACAATGTTATTGGTCCTGACCTGGCATCTTGGCTCCAGTTACTTTCCCACTGCCATAACATTATTTTCTGGTGCTTTTCTATAAATACTTTTATAGTAATTGTTCTGTTGAGCTTTCCTCTATGGTACCTAAACTCTACAAATTTAAGTGCAGTAGTAGATTGATGGCAAGATCTCATCCTTTTACTGTTGAAATGAATGGATATAACCATAAGTTCTATGCTAACAGTATCTTCTATCACACATCTCACCTGTGAAACTCTTCTGTTTTCTTGCTTACTGGCCAACTGTCAATCATTATCTACTGTCTTCTTGATTCCTCTTTTATTGTTCTCACTCCCTAATGATTTTCTTTTTCTTATTCTTTCACACTCAGTAACCCTTTGTGTCTTAGTATCTTTATTGCCTTGCTTGGGCTGAAATAATTTTTAAAAAAATTATCATTATTTGTCATCAGTCCCATGACCAGATGTGGAAATAGGGTTGCTTTGCAACTGTACAAGTAACCCCAACACACAATATATCTGGACTGAAAACTGGAGAGCTATTTATTAATGTGTAGTGTGTCTTGGACAAGTAGACATAACAGAATCCATCTCTCTCCAGGTCAAACCACAGCCAATGTCCTCTAACATAAATGATCACCTTGGTCACAAACACGTGGCTATTGATCACATTGAGTTAACCATCTGACTTTAGTCTAGGAAGCCCTCTTCCCAGAATTGCAGTGTCATCACCATAATGGCTACATACATGACTATGGAGCCCTGTCTGCCCCATTATGCTAGACAGCTGTTGATCCTACAAGAAGGTTCATCTGTCCTTTGACAGGTCTTGTTTTAAATCCTGCTGGGTACCTAGCCACCCTCCTCACCAGAAAAGCCTGATGGTGGAACCAGTTTAGTAGTCAATGACACAACAGTATGGCAGATAGTACTGGGTTACATGGTACTTATAGAGTGTACAATACTAGACTGGTGTCAAGATCTCATCAATCTACAATTGATCTAGCTAAATGTAACCATAACTTCTATGCCAACAGTTTCTTTTCTCGCACATCTTATCTGTGAAACTCCCTTCTGGGTCCCATGCTTTCCAGCCAACTTTAATCTGGAAAAGTTTAAATGCAATGTCAATTGCTATGATTGCTCTTTTCTCTTTCTACTCATTACTAATGTTTCTGTTCTTAATTCCTCCACACCCTGTAACCCCTTGTGTGTTAGTGGCTATACTGTCTTGCTTGGGGCAATACCAATTAAAAAAATAAATAAATAAAAGTGACAAAAGAAAAAATTAAGTTCTGTATATTTTATTTTTTTCATTACAATAGAATAAAGATAAAATTAATAATTTTCTTTGACTTGTAACATTTTCTTAATCATAATGCCAACTGCCGTTACAAAGTAGAAATGTTTCTGCATTCTCCTGTTATATGGAATAATAAAATATGTTACACTTAACCTAATTTAGATAAAAGCTTGTAATTTATTGTCTAAAGAGAGTTTCATATAATTTATGTTAAAAGAATTTTTTTTATGAAATGTGCTTTTTGAAATCATCTACTGCATTTAGAAAACCATTTACAAGTTATTGTGCCACTTAATTAAAAACGTAAACCAATTCAAGTATGAAAATCTTCTTGTCCCTGCCCCACTACCCTTCACCAATAAAGCTTGGTTACCTTGGAAACAAAACCAATAATATGCAGAAAAATAATAGTGATAAAATTAAAAGCATCAGTTTTGAAGACTATATCATTTTAGAAAAAGAGACTGTCACATTGAAATGTTGCTTGAGGATGCTCAAAGAAAAAAATGTCAAAAATTAAGTTAATAAAAAAAAAATTAAATAAAAATTTAAAAATACATTTTAAAATTTTAAAAGAAGACAAAAATTGAAAAATTCATTGCTTCAAAATATCATTAAATCTTAAAAATAAAAGTTTTTTTTCTCTCTCTCTCTCTCTCTCTCAAGTAATGACATCAGATTTTTCAAATTAACATTTTTTTCTGGAAGGATAAATATTATTGAAAAACAGAAAAATACTTAAAATATTTTTATGA